CGCGGGGACGCCGCGTACGACAACGTGGCGCTGGGGACGGCCAAGAAGAGGAGCCCACGGGAATGAGCAGGGACCCCCCATTTGTCTCCCCCATGGGTGGAGGAGGCGCTGGGCGCGCCGGCCGTGCCGGGCACCTCTGCCCAGCTGTGCCGCTGGAGGGCAGAGCGAGCCCGGCGGCCCCCGCTCCCCGGGGGGGTCTCCGCAGCCCCGCTCCCCGCTCTGCGCCCCTGGTGCCTGCCGGGTTCCCGCGCTGTCCCGCTGCGGTGGCATCGGGCGCACTCCGGCTGTGCCAGGTCCGCATCCCAGCACGGATGGCGCTGACACCGCCCGTCTCCCTGAAGGTCACACTGCTCCACGCGCRGGTGGGGGTAAATTCCTCCTGTCTCAGCTAGGGGGTTAATTTTGCTTTTTTTGTGCTTTTTTATGKTTTTTTTTTAATTATTTTTTTAATATATAAAACCACTTTGGAGCCGCCTCTGGATTCTAAATTAAATGCCAAGCTTTATTGTCATGGTGATCAKAGCGAGCGGCTCCTCTCTTCCCGGGGCGCGCGGAGCAGGGCCAGGCGAGACGCGCGGTGCCCTGTGCAGGGRGGCGGCTCCTCCTCAGCCTCCTCTTCCTCCTCCCGGAGAGCACCTCCAGCCTTCCGCTTCTCCACCCGGACTTTCCTGATGAGGAGGAGGCTGCTGCGCTGAAGCCAGCGCAGGGTCCCCAGYGCCAGGTCCTGCCGGTGACAGAGCCAGGGTCCAGCCCGGGCACCGTGCCGGGACATCCCGCCCCAGCGCCYGGGAGAGCTTCCACCACAGAGAAAGGAACAGCAGGAATTATTTAACATCTTTCAATCAAATACATGGTTAGGTGCTTGAGCTGATTTCCTGGATCCCCAAAATCCAAGTGCCAATTTTTAATAAAGCAAATTAAGTGTTTTGTGTATTACACAGATTAGAGCTCTGTATCAATCCATCTATCAGGAGTGTTGGGAAACACACGGGCTGGTGACAAGCGCAGCCGACAGATCCCAAACACTCCTGGCCCTGGCACCCAGGGTGGAGGGCGAAGCAGTGCAGAGCGGACCCTGTTTAGGAACAGGGAGCTGCATTTTTGGCCTTTTCCCATCGTATTTTGGCAGCAATCCCTGCCAATCCCGGCACACCCGCTCTCTGCACTCGGCTCTTCCATGGAGGAGAATTCCGGTGGGAAGGCAGGCTTGGCTGGCTGGAGCAACCGGGACTCCTAGCAGCACCATCCCCTTCACCGGTAATCAATTGCCTGAGCRTGTGCAATTATTAATTAGTGCTCATTATGGCGGTTATTTATTATTTATTAGTGTTAACACAGGCCGCTCTCCATGCTGCCGCTCTCGGTGTGAGCCGGGACTCCGTGCGCTGTCCGCCTGCTCCACCACTATTTTTCTTCACGAACAGAAGAAACTGGAGACCCTTTCCGGACTCCACTTCAAGCTCTTATGGGACCAGCAAGGCTTGAGAAGTGCCGACCTGGCAAAGACGCTAATCCCATGGGATGCTGCGGAGCGGAGATGGGCACCGGGGGCTCTTCCCTGCCCCAACGAGCTCCRGAGCATCTTCCCCATCCCAGCCAGGAGCTGCTGTAACGGAGTGGGAAAGGCTGGAAAACTCTTCCCGCTGGAGAACAAACCCTTGTCGAGGCAGCTCCTTTCTTCATTAGTGTCCGCTCGCATTAGGGAAGCGCTCGCTCCGCYGCGCGCTCCAGCTGCTCCGCCGGCGCCAACGCTGCGGCCGCAAACTGCATTAGCGTCTCGCCAAGCAGCCCCTAATACTATTAGGGGGGAGGCATCCGAGGTGCTAAATGACAGGCTCCTAATCAGCGGCGGGATTTATGGCCCGCGCCGCCGCCACRCGGGGCTCTTCATTCAGAAAAAAACGGTTTAATTGGGAGCGCCTGGATTCTCTCCGCCTGTCGTGTGGCTGGAGCTCCGGATCACCGCGGGGATGGGGGGAAAAGGAGCCGAGGGCGATGGGGAGCGGGGAGGTGCAGCCCGTCCCAGCACCCCTCGGCAGCACGGATGGAGCTGTGCTGTGATCCGGGCTCCCGGTGGCTGCAGCCGAATTAATCGGCAGTTGCCAGCGGTCCGTAAAACCTTCTTGGGGAAGGAAGCTGTAAAGTGCCGCCTCCTTGGCCGGGTTTCCGCATTGATCCCGTGGCCTCTCCGGCCACGGCCAGGCCCTGGGGAGCTGTGTGTGGCCTCCACCGAGCACCACCATCAACGCGGGGCCTCCTGGATCGAGCCTGGAGCTTTCGGAAGGCGGATGTGCTTAGCGCCGTCCCCTTGCCTTGCTGCACACCCACGGAGCGAAAATAAGAAGGTGGATGCTGTGCCAAGCTCATCCGCCCGCGGATTTTGTCAGGGCTGCAGTATAAATACCTCCTCCAGCCTCCCGGCACCCACCTGCCCAGACTGAGGCTTAAAGTAAAAATATCCCCTGGGTGCGAATGCGCCGCTGACGGCAGCGCGGCCCCAGCGCACGGATCCCGGGGGATCCCGGGAGCCGCCGCTCCTGCCCATTCCAAAGTGGGGCCACGAACCCTCCCTTGCGGCTGCCTCTGAGAAAGGGGAGTCAATTACCGGCAGCTGGTGAGAGGCGAAAATTATTATTAATTTCCAGGCAAGCATATGCTTCGTGTTAGCAGTGCCCGACGCCGTGGCAGAAGGGCCGATGCCGTCCAGATGGCTCCGTGCGCCGCGGGAATGATTAGCGTGCCGGTGGGCACGGCGCGCCGGGGCGATGCTCCGCCGGGGCCTTGCCTTCCTTTTCCCGTTTTATCCCAACCTCTTGGCACGAGGGGCCTGGGAAGCAGGTTGCAGAGGGGATGTGGATGCCCAAGTCCCCCGTGAGCCCTTTGGCCCTGCTGCAAACCAGGGAGGGCGGCAAGCGCCGCTCCGCTTTCCCTGCTCGCCGTATGGAATTGCCCGGAGAGCAGTTGCAATTGCAATTGCCCGTACGGAATTGCACGCACAGAGCAACCTTTCCTTGGTGAGACATAGCGACGGCAGCCGAAATTGCCGGTGTGAAACCAGTAAGCGGTGTCTATTTTTACCCGGCAGCAGGAGCCGGTGCTGCGGGTTATCCGCTGAGTCTCCGCTCGGCTGACCTCGGGGAGGGAAAAGAAAGCCCAGTTTGCAGGCGAGAGCGGCAGGAACATGGAGCTTCTTTAAATCCGGGGCTGGGAATGGTTCAGCGCCAGGGGAGAGGGATAAAAATAGCTGCTGTTCCCTGTGCCCGTGACAGAGGCGCGGGACGAGCAGAGCTGCGGGGGGGCCGGCGGCAAGCGCTGCCTTATAAATAGCCCTAATTACTGGTGCGGGTGCACGATACTTAATGAGGGGTTGGGGTGACATGAGCCCGGCGATGCCTCGACGCCTCCCGGCACAGGGCTTTGTGATGCCACCCTTGCCACAAGCCACGGCCCTGCATTCCCGAGGGAATGGGAGGCAGGAAGGGCAGCTCCGTGGGGAGCGCGCAGCGTCCCGGCTCGCCGGGCCTCGCCACGAATGTCCTGGCTTTGCTCCCCATACGAGGAGACATTCGAGCGATAACGCGGCACGAAGCGACGGAGTGCAATCTCCGAGAAATATTGGCGCATTAAAAGAGAGCAGAAGCTGCTGCAGCTGGTTAAAAGATTGCCACGGYGGAAGCCTTTCCCAGCAGCTGGCTCGCGCGCCGTAAATCCAGCTCTCTCCCTGTTGAAGGTGAACGCCGCACCGGAGCGGCGCCGCCTATTCGAGCTCGGGGTTCCTCCAAAGAGTATTGGGATGGCTGGGATTGGGCTGCAATCCCTCTCCGTGCTTGGTGACATGGTCCCAGAGGAGCCCGCTGCTTCCAGCGCGTGCCAGCAGCGGGATGGGACCCCTCTCCATCTCCAGGAGGAACTGTGGCTCCCTTGATTCCAGGGCTCGTGGATACAGGGGGTTTATTCCCAGGGGAGCAGTAATGGAGATGAATATAAAAATCCTCTCAGCGGGCGCCCTGCGGGATTCATGGAGCGTGGCCGGCTCTCCTGGCCTGCGGGACGAGCACTAACCCGGCTCCMCTCACCAAGGGGAGGCAGGAAATGAATCCCGCCCCAACGGGAACCTGCCTCCCATGCTCCGAATCCGGCATTCCCTGGGGTGCCCATGCCAGGGTGCCCAGCATCCCCGCGGAGTGCGCCGCTCCGGAGGGCAGCTTTCGATCCATCCCCAACACGGGCGGCCTGAGGAGGTCCCACGGGTGCACCCCGGCCCTGCGCGGAGCCTGCTCACCCCAAAGCCGCTTCCCGACGGCCCCCGGGATCCGGCAGCCAAGACCAGGGCCGTTCCCTTTCCTTCCACGAGGAGCGTAATCCCCRCTTTGAAAGGCGCATCCTCCGCTTGATGCTTCCTGACATTAATATTATCATCTCCAACCAGCCGCAGAGCCCAGCTGTCGCCCGCGATTAGGGCGCTGACACAGATCGGTGCAAGATTTCACGAGCGTCTCATTACTGCTGACTCCAGCGCCGCGCCGCTTATATAACTCGGCTTGCGGAAAGCTGCCGGCGCGGGTGCTCCGCCGCTGCCGAGCCTCGCTCCCCCCGGCCACGCCGGCTGCCTCTTCCCATCCCTCCCTTCCCCTTTGGGAGGTTTTCCTCGTTCCGGAGCGGCCGTTTCTTTGCTAACCGGGAAGGATGAGCTGGATACTCGTGTGCAGCTCGCTCTGCAGAGCCGGCACAGGCTCCCTGCATCCCTGCGATGCTGGGAAAGCAGAGGGAGACWGAGCGGGAATGGGACCCCGGAGCATCCGTCTCCATCAGGGATGCTGCAGGTGTGCCGGGAAGCACGTGGACATGGTGGGGAAAGGAAAGACCTCCGGCTACAGCTCCAAAAAAGGGCAGAATTTAGGKAAGAAGCTCCCCGGGACCGTGTCCCTGGCCACGCACTGCCCCTTCAAGCTGTGCCTGCAAGATGATTTTATCAAAGGGGAAAAGTGAGGCGGGGAGGTGGGATTTTCTGCTCTGGCTAAACGGAGCATCGTGGCTCCAATTAAAGTTTGGAAGCCTCATCCTGGAGCTGGGGCCCGTCAGAGGCTGACAGTTATTGGGCTGTCAAAGCCAATCTCTTCCAAGCGCTGCTTCCCCGAGTGCTGTGCGTTAGGAGTCATTTATGCCATCTATACCGAGGTGCTCCATTCGGGAGGGTTTTGCTCCTTCGCTTTAGGTCTTGTTCCCTTTCCTCCRGAGCTGAAATGATCACAGTTGTCTCCAGCCGATTCCAACTAGGCTAAAGCTGCCCCAGGTCATCTCCCCTTTGCCCCTGGGCACTGAAACCTGGCCCAAATCCCTGGGATTCCTCCTGCCCGGCACCAGCAGCAGGTAACAGCTCTGCCCAGGGCTGTCGGCTGCCTTCCCAGTGAGCGAATCCCTGCGACGCCGTTACGGGAATTCAGCCTCCCAGAAGATATCTGGGCAGCGTTATTACAGGATATTATACAGACCATTTGCATGGCCACCTCCAGGTCATTTCGATCACTTCAAGCTACTTATCTGCCCATTTTCCTCCCCGTCATATTTGCCTAATTYGATTACCCCGCAGCCTCAGCACAGCGAAATAACCAGGCGGCAGCGCCCGGGGCGAGCGGAGCGGATGGGCACCCACTGCGGGGGCTGCCCCTGCGTGGGGACCCCTCCCCAGCAACCTGCGCCCTGCGTGGCCCATCCGCGTGTCCAAGAACAACCGGGATGTCCCGGAGCAGGGCGCCGGGGAGACCTCCTTGCCTCCCGCTTACATCGGGAGCTGCAGGATGCTGCTCCCTCCCGGCGCTTGGTTCCCGTCCTGGAGACATCCGCCCACTCGTTGCGCCCAAAATGGGGTGAAATGGCCATGGATTGGCACGGCGGGTGCTCCCCGTGCTTGCAGGAGTGCTGCTGGATGTGCCGCTTCCCGCAGCGCTTTGGAGGAGCGACACCAAAGCGGAACCCGCCGACAGCCCCGGTGCTGAYGAGGCTGCGATTAAACTGCAAATTCCGGAGCTCCACGCTCGGAATTCTCAGCCCCTCGGAATTCTCGGCCCTGCTGCCGGCGGGAGCATCCACTGGGAGCTGCCTCCGCATGCGGCCGCGCTCCTCCTTCCCTGGGTGCGTCAGGGGCTGCAAACCTCGTGAATCCCCATAAAAATCCCTGTGATCCAACTCCCAATGCCAGGGAAACAGAAAGAGCCCTTTTCCAGGGGAAAGCTTTCCCTTTCCCCTTGATAAAATCATCCTCCAGACACAGCTTGAAGGGGCAGTGCATGGCCAGAGACACGGTCCCAGGGAGCTTCTTCCCTTTCCCAGGGAAAGGAAATCATGGCGCTGGCTCCCTGGGAAGCCGGGCTGCCCTGGGAAGCGCAGGAAGGCCTGGAGGGGTGACGCCGGGATGGCTGAGATGCTCCGGGAGCGCGGGGAGGAGGGATGCTATAAATACTGCCGCTGACGCAGCGTGCCGGCCTCCAAATGGAGGCTGGAGACAATAAAGATAATCAAGGGACTTGGGGTGATTGCCAGGGACCGGAGGGGCACATGGCAAGAGCGGAGCAGGAAATCTCTCCCGACAGCGCCAAGAGGCCTCTGAGAGGCCAAAGGGGGCCTGTGGATTCTCTGATGGCTGGTAGAAGGGCTGTGCTGCGGAGCACTAGGACGGTGCCACAGCTCCCGGTGGGGATGACAGCCGTGTCAAACTTCCACCCCCAGGGTGGCATGGGGTGGGATACACGGTTGGGAAGGGGAGTTGAAGGAGGTAGATGCGGTGACCATGAATATTCATGGCCCCTTCCCTTGCTCGCTTCCCAGCGGAGATGAGAGCTGCCTTTGAGTTAGTCGTTCTTTATTAATGAGCCCTCTGTTCCTGGGAAATGATGCCGGGGGAGCGGGGAAAAGAGGGCYGGGCGGGGAAAGCTGCATCCACCGRCTGCTCCATGGATGCCCTGCAAGCCCAGGAGCCGCGGCCGGCCGGGCGAGCGCCAGGCGGCCGCTCAGCCCGCTCCGAGCTCCGCGCAGACAGCAGCTAAAGAGCTGCTTAGCAGAGCAGCCACTGCTGTCCCCCGCCTGCCGTTTGTCACCGCCGCCTCGCCTCTAATGGAGCAATTTTGCCTTTGCTGCTCGGGTATCGCCACGGAGCTGTGTTGAGCCGGCCGCTCCAAACACGCAGCGGYGGCGGCGGCCGGGGGCTCCTGCGGTGGCAGCTGCTCCAATTGCCCCTTCTCCGCGGCTGCCCCCTGCTACCCGTCCCCCCTGCACTGCACTGCTCAGGCTCCGAAAAGATGCAGCCTCCTGCTGCGTTGCTGCTGGGGAGGAGAGGGAGGGAGGGATGCGATTCCTGTGCACGCGGGGGTGGGATGCGCAGGGTGCGTCTCCTGTGCATCGTCCGGGGGGGGGATGCATTGCCCAGGCCATCTCCTGTGCATCGTCCAGAGGGGGATGCATCTCCTGTGCATCTCCTGTGCATGTGCAGGGGTGGGGTGCATCATCCAGGCCATCTCCTGTGCATCGTCCAGTGGGGATGCATCGTCCAGGCCATCTCCTGTGCATCTCCTGTGCATGTGCAGGGGTGGGGTGCATCATCCAGGCCATCTCCTGTGCATCGTCCAGGGGGGATGCATCATCCAGGCCATCTCCTGTGCATGTGCAGGGGGGATGCATCGACCAGGCCATCTCCTGTGCATCTCCTGTGCATGTGCAGGGGGGATGCATCGACCAGACCATCTCCTGTGCATCGTCCAGGGGAAGATGCATCATCCAGGCCATCTCCTGTGCATCTCCTATGCATCGTCCGGGGGGGATGCATCATCCAGGCCATCTCCTGTGCATCTCCTATGCATCGTCCGGGGGGGATGCATCACCCAGGCCATCTCCTGTGCATCATACAGGGGGGATGCATCTCCTGTGCATCTCCTGTGCATGTGCAGGGGTGGGGTGCATCATCCAGGCCATCTCCTGTGCATGTGCAGGGGGGATGCATCGTCCAGGCCATCTCCTGTGCATCTCCTGTGCATGTGCAGGGGGGATTCATCCTCCAGGCCATCTCCTGTGCATCGTCCAGGGGAAGATGCATCGTCCAGGCCATCTCCTGTGCATCTCCTATGCATCGTCCAGGGGGGATGCATCGCCCAGGCCATCTCCTGTGGATCTCCTGTGCATGTGCAGGGGGGATGCACTGTCCAGGCCGTTTCCCTGCTCTCCAGCAGCAGCTGCTGTGGTGGCCGGCCCTGTTTCTGCTCTCCCCRGGGTGAGGCGGCGTGGTTCAACAAAGGGCAATGAGGGAGGCCAGGCGGAGGCAGCGCAGACCTCCCTTTTCCTRCAGGTTTTGTGCCGTCTCCGCGCCTCGTGGGCTGCGATGCTTCCCTGCTTGGTGCCTCTTCTCCTTGGAAACCCGCAGYCGGCAGCAGCGAGGGCCCCCGGCCTCTGCCTGCTCCCGCTTCCCTGCTCCACAGGCCATTCCCGACTTGTCCACAGCCCAGTGCAAGGGCTGGAGATGCTGGATCCATCAGTGCCAGGTGACACGGGGGACTCCAGCGGTTGAAGATGACGAGCTCACAGCTGGCCAGCACCCAGAGGAGCCGCAGTGGGTTGGGATTGAACAGCATCCAGGAGCATCCTACGGGCTGAAAGAGCATCCCGGGTGTCTCCTGCTCTCCTTGGTGGGAGCCACCAGAGAGGCTCCCCACACCAGGCTCAGACTCTTGATTTAAGGAGCTCCAAGGCTATAAATTCCCTTGGAATAAATTCTAAATGTGAGGCCAGGTACCTGGCTGCTCTTGAAAGAGAGGGAGCTGGAACGTGACCGGGACACAGGGCAGCAGCTCCTGCCAGGGCTCTCCTTCAGCTCAGGAAATTTGGGACAGGAGATTTTTTTGCTTGATCCTGAGGCCCCAGCTCGTAGCCCCCAAGCGATGTCGGGTAGCCAAGGATGCAGCGACTCACTGCTCTCTCCATGAAAATTCAGCAAAACACAGCAACATCCTGCTGAGCATGAGCCACCATCATTTTATTTTATTTTATTTTATTTTATTTTATTTTATTTTATTTTATTTTATTTTATTTTATTTTATTTTATTTTATTTTATTTTATTTTATTTTNTATTTTATTTTATTTTATTTTATTTTATTTTATTTTATTTTATTTTATTTTATTTTATTTTATTTTATTTCATTTCATTTCATTTCATTTCATTTCATTTCATTTCATTTCATTTTATTTCATTTTATGGAGAAGGCAGCCAGGGATATCAAGAGATATCAAGAGGAGGTAAAATATAAGATGGGGAAGGATGTGGCAGAGCGAGAAGCCATCTTTCTGCTCTGATCCTGGTTGGCTCCTTGGCTGCATTGGAGTCAAGGAAGGATTGCGGCCGCTTCCCGAGCAGCCACTGCGGGTCCCGGKTTGGGATCCCACACACTGGTGTTTGCACCTGAGTCAGGTGTAATTCCCTAAGCTTGAGAGCATCAGGTCTGTCCCCCCTGCCTCTCTGCTCCGTGCGCTGCTCCGGAACAGCYACCGGGATGGGAATCCAGATGGCACAGCTGGGTGGGTGCAAGAAGCTCCCCACTGCTCAACGTAGGGCTGGAAGGAGGATGAGGATGCTGACAGAGCCAGAAGGGGATGAGCATGAGGCCAGGATCCTGCTCATGTCCTGGGAGCAGCGGTGGAGGGAGCTCTGCTCCGCTCCTCCCGGAGGCGATATCCGATATCCAGGCTGTGGGAAGAAGGGAGAGGCTGAGTGCTGCCAAGGGCTGAGCCGGGAAAACCAGGAGCCTCAGGCACAAATGAACAACGGTCCTGGCAGCATGTGTGCGTGTGCACGAGCGTGCACGTGTGTGTGCAATTCCTCCCACCGGCAGATCCCAGAGCGGGATCCGCTGGCAGCTCCTGGCCCTCCTCTCCCTCCCTCCACAGAGGGGCCGGTGGCAGCTCTCTGATCCGGTGCTCCCTGATCCGGGCCACATCACCAAGCCCCTGCGCGTGTCCATGTCCCCACATGTCCCCCATGTCCATGTTCAGAGCAGGGGCAGGTTGTGGGGGGCTAGGGAGTTGGCGGGGGGGCCCTGTCTGACCGCAGCAGCAGGGGGGTCAGTGGTTGGTGCGGGGCCCAGTGCGCACGGCAGGGACATAAGGATGGCTGGAGACAGGGATGAATGGGTGGAGGTGGCTGGAGGGAGGATGGAGGGATGAGATGGATGGATGGATGGATGGATGGATGGATGGATGGATGGAGAGAGGGATGAAGGGACAAGGGCGGCTGGAAGGGCTCCCGCACCCCTCCAGCTGCAGCGCTCTGCCTCCCTCTCCAGCATCGCCGCCGCCTCCCGGAGCCCCGGGCCCGGCGCGGCCGCTGCCCCGCGCGCAGCCCGGCACGAGGGGCGG